GCCTAGAACTGCAGCAGTGATGGCATGCTGCTGCCAAGGTGAGGCAGGAAGCACAGCGCAGTGTTTCTCTCTACACCCACTTCCCACCCTCTTCACTCCCCCCCCAACCCCACCATGACTGCGCGGTGGGAGGCCAGTGCCCTGTCCGTGCTCCCTGCGGACAGGCCCATGCGGAGACTCACTGTCCTGCCAGGGACACAGGGACTGAGCTCGGACATGGACCCTCCAGGCCCCTGCCGAGAGCAGCACCCTTGGCCAACACCGATTGCTCCCGAGACCCCAAACCAGCCGCTCCCAGGCCAGCCCTCCCGGTGTCCGGCCCACAGAGGGCGGAGATGGTGCGTAAACAGGGTTTCCAGCAGAAAGTGCTGGCGTGGGGACTGCACAGAGGAGGTAAAGAATCCAGTCTTCCCCTCCGACGCCCTCCTTCCCTTCCTCCAGCCAAAGCTGCCCCATGGTTAAGGTGACCTGACGTCCCGCTTTTGGCGGGACAGTCCCTATTTTTAACCATTTGTCCTGTGTCCCGCGTCCCGAGGCCTTTTAAAAAGTCCTGATTTTTGGAAAGACTCCTGGCTCGCTGACTCGGGTTTCCGTGTTTATCGGACAAACACGGGATCCTGAGAATGGGTACGGGACTGGCCTAACTCACAGAGGGCTGGGAAAGCAGACTGGCCCCGCTCCCCCAGCTCTGAGGCTCCGGAGCGTACCCAGCGTACACCCCTTCCGCCGTGGCCTCGGACCCGCAGCCCTGCCGTCCGCCGCTCAGAGGAGAGCTGCCGGTACCGCTGGGCGCCAGCGGAGGGCCCACCCGAGTGGCCGCTCGGAAGCTCAGGCCGCGCTCAGCAGCTCCTCGCTAGGACAGGCCCGGCTCGGAGGGAAGCAGGGAGCCCGGGGGGGGGGGGGGGGGGGGTAAACTGAGGAAGAAGGCTAGCCCAGCTGGGCTGCTGCCCCCCAGGCCAACACGCAGGCCCAGTGACAGAACCGGCCCAGAGCGGGCGCCTCGGGGTGGGCGGGGACTGGACTCTGGGTCATGGGGTGAAACACAATGGTGTCTAGGGCAGCCCGTGGGGAGTGGGGCAGCCCGGTGGAGGTGGGCAGCATGGTTGGGGGTGGGGCAGCCCCTAGGGGGGGTGGGGCAGCATGGTGGGGGGTGGGGCAGCCCGTGGGGGGGTGTGGCAGCATGGTTGGGGGTGGGGCAGCCCGTGGGGGGGTGGGGCAGCATGGTGGGGGGTGGGGCAGCCCAGTGGCGGGTGGGGCAGCATGGTGGAGGGTGGGGCAGTCCGTGGGGGGGTGGGGTCTCACGAGCTTCCCCGAGCTGGGTCACTAGTTAAAATACGAAGGTTAAAAACCAGGAATAATGAATTAACATAGAAATTAATATATGAGGATGCAAATAAAGTTATAATGTCATATTAAGCCTGATAGAAACGAGTTAAAATAGCATTTATTTCATGCAATTTATTTCAAATAATCATTTAAAAAGGGAAAAATAAAAAATAAAATTTAAATCTGTTCCAAGAGGCATCTGTGAAGACGCTGCTTCTTTCCGTAGGACCCTCCGTGTGTGTGTGTGTGTGTGTGTGTGTGTGTGTGTGTGTCCCCGAGATCCAGGGACTTCTTGGCTCAGGGCAGCCATGGCTGTTTGCTCTGCCCTGGTGATTTCCAGAGATCCTGCCCCACCCAATTTACAACCCCACCAGAGCTGTGAGCAGCAGCTTTTGCATATTAATGAGCTGCTCTTCCCCTAAAAGGAACTGCAGCTGGGTCAGAGAGCCAGAGCTTCCAAAAGGCCCACTACCTGGCAGCGGCAGAGGCCTTCACAGCTGGCCGCGTCTGGGCACCTCCAAACCCCATCCACAGAGGAGGAATCTGCAGATGTATCTGAGCTCCTGCTGGGCGGCCCCTGACAGTCGCTGACCATGCACCTCCTTGGAGACCCAAGAGCCAGTGTACCCAGTGGTCAGAGTGAGACCAGACCAGATTACAATTCTTCTCATTCATAAGGGACACACTCAGGGGGCAGACTCAGTACCAAAGCCCCACTGAAGCAAGTCCTGCCCCATAAGGGTGTCTCCTGTGCAACAGCTCTTCCTGTGCAGACACAGCTGGTCCTCACAGTCAGTTGGCCTGGAGGCCAATTCCTCCCAGAGACACCAACAGCAAACAATGGTTAACGACAACAAGACTGTGCACCCAGCCCACAAAGGGGTGCACCAAGAGTGTCCACCTCAGGTGACTGGGCAGGCTGAGCCACTGAACCCTATAGGACACCTAGCACACAAGGCCACTCTCTCAACTCAAGGAGCTTAGGAGCTACCCAGTACATAGAAACAAACACAGGGAAGCAGCCAAAATGCGAGACAAAAAAACATGTCACAAATGAAAGAAATGGATAAAAGCAAAATACTGAATATAGAGTTCAAAACAACAGTTATAAGGTTAATCAAGAATCTTCTAGAAACCGCCGAGAAATTTAGTGAGACACTCAAGGGTATGAAAAAGACCAATCAGAAATTAAACATACAGCCAAAACTGGTTTGGCTCAGTGGATATAGCGTTGGCCTGTGGACTGAGGGGTCCCGGGTTCGATTCTGGTCAAGGGCATGTACTTGGTTACGGGCACATTCCCAGTAGGGGGTGTGCAGGAGGCAGCTGATCGATGATTCTCTCTCATTGATGTTTCTGACTCTCTATCCCTCTCTCTTCCTCTCTGTAAAAAATCAATAAAATATATTTTTTTAAAAAGAAATTAAACATACATTGACTGAAATAAAAAATAATATAGAGAGATCCAACAGCAGACTAGAGGATCCCAAGAATCAAGTCAAAGATGTGAAATACAAAGAAGCAAAAAATATGCAACCTGAAAAGAGAAAAAAGAATAAAAAAATATGAAGATAGTGTAAGGAGCCTCTGGGACAACTTCAAGCGTACCAACATCCAAATTATGAGGGTGCCAGAAGAAGAGAGCAAGATACTGAAAACCTATTTGAAGCAATAGTGACTGAAAACTTCATCCACCTGGTGAAAGAAATAGACTTACAAGTACAGGAAGCACAGAGAACCCCAAACAAGAGGATTCCCAAGAGGACCACACCAAGACACATCATAATTAAAATGCCAAGAGCAAAAGACAAAGAGAGAATATTAAAAGCAGCAAGAGAAAAGCAGTTAATTACCTACATAAGGGAACACCCATATGACTGTCAGCTGATTTCTCAACAGAAACTATGCAGGCCAGAAGGAAGTGGCAAGAAATATACAAAGTGATGAATCGCAAGAATCTACAACCAAGATTACTCTACCCAGCAAAGCTATCATTCAGAATTGAAGGTCAGTCAAGAAAGAGCTAAAGGAGTTAGTTCATCACTACCAAACCAGGATTATGTGAAATGCTGAAGGGTATTCTCTAAGAAGAGGAAGAAAAAGGTAAAGATAAAAATTATGAACAACAAAGTGACAACAAATATCTATCAACAAGTGAATAGAAATATCAAGTGAATAAAAATCTGATAAACAAATTAAACTAGTGAATATAATAGAATCAGGGGTATAGAAAGGGAGTGGACTGACAACTCTCAAGGGGAAAGGGGTGTGGGGGGTTCGGGAGAAGCTGGACAAAATCTTACACCTAGGATGAGGACAGTGGGGGGGGGTGTGAGGGCATGGGCTGGTGTGGGACCAGGTGGAGGGGAGCTGGGGAGAGGAACAACTGTCATAATCTGAACAATAAAGATTTATTTTAAAAAAGTTTTCATCCAGTTAAAACATCCAGTGAACATTTCCATACCCCACCCGACACTCTGAGCCCAGCACTTCTATTCCTCTCCAGAGAAATAAGACACAGGTCTGTCCACAAAGATCTGCAGAGGGAGGGTCTCCTCAGCTTCGTCCACAGTAACCCGGCATTTACAATAACCAAACGCCCAACGGGAGCCTCAAAAGGAAGTCACGACACAGTCACACACACACACACACACACACACACACACACACACACACAGCACGAATGCCTCTGCAGATATTAAGCCCAACAAGAGAAGCTGGCCACCAAAGGGACATCTGAGTGGGCCCACAGACAACAAATCCTAGAACACACACGACTGATCAAAACATTCAAACCAGTTCCTCCGGGGGAGGAGGCCTCCCTCGTGGAAGGGATGGGAGGGAAATGTCCAGGAGGAAGAAACTACCTTAGGAATGTGGGTCACATGAGAGCATGTGTTTTGTCAAAATGCCTCATACTGGACACTTGCGATTTACAAGTCGCACTGCGTGTAGACGTCAGGGGCGGGTGCCGTGGCAGAGAAGACGTGGCCCTGTGTCCGGGAGCTCCGTCTCCAGAGGGGGGCGCCGCCCAGGGTGTGGGCCTGGCCACGGGCTCACGGGCGTGGCCGGGCGGACGACCAGGCAGAGGCCCGGGAGCCCCGGAACCGGCGTGTCAGGTGGAATGAGGAGCGGAAGCTCCTGCCTTTGGGAGCGAATTGTCCAGGAGGCATTTTCAAAAGTTACGTGAGCACCCAGGTCAGCTCTGAGAGGGCATCCCTGTCCCGTGTTTAAAATGGAAACGAAGCCCCAGGCTGCCTGGCTCTGTGATGAAGCGAGGACCTAGGAACCAGCAGGTCACGGTTCAATGCCGGTCAGGGCACAGGCCCGGGCTGTGGGCTCCATCCCCAGTGTGGGGCGTGCAGGAGGCAGCCGACCCAGGATTCTCATCATGGATGTTTCTCTCTCTCCCTCTCCCTTCCTTTCTGACATCAATAAAAATGCACTTTTTTAATGGAAACGGAAATATGCCCATTGGCTACGGACTTGTAGGACCGGGACCCGGCGTGTGCTGTGCTCCGGCCTCTCGCCGTCCTCGCCCAGGCAGGCCCGCACGTAAGCACGCGGTGTTCGCGGGCAGGGGGAGGCCCTGGGAGAGGGAGTGGAGGGGGGAGAGGGGCAGGCGCCCGCAGAGGGGGCCTGAGGGCGGGCAGGGCTGGGCGGCGGGGGCGTACCTGCCAGCTGGCACTGGCTGATCTTGTGCTCGGTGATGTCGCTCAGCGACTCGAACACCTGCAGGCAGCTGTCGCAGCTGTGCACGGCCTCGTCCTCCAGCTCCTCCGCCTCCTCCGGCCGCTTGTGGCCGTCTAGCGCCTCGCCATCCTCGGGCTTGTCCTCCAGCTTACAGTTGGGGTCTGCGGGGAGACGGACGGGGACAGGGTTACAGACAGGCTCTCTCTACAGCCACGTCTTCTCTCCACCCAGGACAGACACACACGAGCCCTGGACCCGGCGTTGGGTGTGGGGAGCGCCGAGGGGGCTGTGCTGCCGGTTTCACGGGGGAAGAATCAGAAGCGAGTCGTCTCCCCGAAGTGGCCCAGGTCCCGCGGACGGAGCCGGCCCCCTCCCCGCCGCCCTGCGCCCTGGTCCCATGGGCCACCCTCAGAGGTTTAGTGTAAGGTGACCCAGACGTCCCGCTTTTGGTGGGACAGTCCCAATTTTTAGCCATCTGTCCCACGGGGTTTTAAACCTGTTTTAAGTCGCCGCGGGACGCGGGACAAATGGTTAAAACTTGGGACTGTCCCGCCAAAAGCGGGACGTCTGGCCACCTTCGTTTCGGAGCCCTGCTTACACACGGAGAGACCACCCCGCTTAGAGGGAAGCAGAGAGGAAGTCCCGGGCTGAAGCCTGACTCCTTCTCTGCTAACCACACTCCTTCCCGGAAATCGCCAGAACCCGCCGCCAGTCTGGAGTCCGCCGAGCTCATTACCGGGCACAACGCCGACCTTCGCTCAGTCACCAGTCACCACACACAGAATGCCGCCCCCTTAGGTGCCCACTGCGCAGGCAGCCCAGGCTCCCGCCCGCAGCGCATTCTCACCGACACCAGCCCAGGGCAGGGACGGCAGGAGTGTCTCCCATTTGGAAAACCAGCGGAAATGCAGTAAAATGCCCAAAGAGCCACTGTCAGGGGTCACCGAGTCTGCTGCTTGCACTGGCACGCTCAGCGTCAAAGGCGAAGCGACGGGAAACTGCGCTCCAGCCCCGCCCCACACCGGCCTCACCGCCCCGGGGACAAGACAGGAGCCGATTCCCAGGAAGCCCGGTGAGGACTCACAGTGCCTTCTGGCTCTGTACTTATTTGAGAGGAGCGCTCCTGGCCTTCATGGAGCAGGAGGACACAGGAGGGGGCAGGGGGAGAACATGCCTCCTGAGGGTCAGCAGGGTGATGCAATCGGTGGCTAAGTGATAGGAATTCGTCTCTAAAGGCAGAGAGCCCTGCAAAGCCGGGAACAGGTCGTCTCAAAATAGAGCAGCTGGAGAAATAGTTAATAAATCGAGTCGCATCGAAGCACCTAAGAAACATACCATCAAGAATTCACAGACACAGCCGAGACCCGTCTGGCTCAATGGATAGGGCGTCGGCTTGGGGACTGAAAGGTCCCGGGTTCGATTCCGGTCAAGGGCATGTATAATACCTTGGTTGCGGGCATAGCCTCAGTAGGGGGTGTGCAAGAGGCAGCTGATCGATGACTCTCTCTCATCGATGACTCTCTCTCATCGATGGTTCTAACTCTCTCTCTCTCTCTCTCTCTCTCTCTCTCTCTCTCTCTCTCTCCCTTCCTCTCTGTACAAAATCAATAAAATATATTAAAAAACAAAAAAGAGTTCACAGCCACAGGAGTCCAGATTTCTCGGACGGCCAGCACGTGTAGGGAAGTGCTTTCTGCTCTCCTGCACGTAACACGCTTCGACAAACCTTCCTTCTACAGGTAACTATGTTCCCTTTTCATTAATTAATATTTTTACTGATTTCAGAGAGGAAGGAGACAGGGCGGGGGGGGGGGGGGGGGCGGCGGGGGGGGGAGAGAGAAACTCCGTGATGAGAGAGGATCATCGATCGGCTGACTCCTGCACGCCACCCACCGGGCACTGAGTCTGAAACCGGGCGTGTGCCTTGACCAGGAATCCGACTGACCCCCGGGTTCTGAGGCCATGACCTCCGGGCCCCGCACGAGCTGTCCTCCCGGCCGGGGCGGCTGGACGCTCATGTAGAAACGCCATGCGAGTCCGCGCCCGTCTGTCCTCAATGGGAACACGTGGGAACACACGCCCTCGGGAGGACGCAGAGGACACGCTAAGCCCCCTTCCCGTTACCGACACAGACACCGACCAGGGACCTGACGTCACACACAGGAGCCGGCGGGGAGGAGGCTGAAGGACTGAGCCCGCTCCCCACACCGGCCATAGAGAGGGGCCATCGGGCGCTGGGCAGAGCCGGTCGGCCATGGAGAGGGGCCATCAGGCGCGGGCAGAGCCAGTCAGCCATGGAGAGGAGCCATCGGGCGCTGGGCAGAGCCGGTCGGCCATGGAGAGGGGCCATCGGGCGCCGGCAGAGCCGGTCTGGCTCGCACGTCTGCATCGGCGGGAGCCCTCAGGGACCATCCCTCAGGCGTCTCCGCTGCTGCAGCTCCGGCCACGGCCTCCAGCCAGCGAGCCGGGTGTTTGTAGGTCACCACAGTGGGGGACGTCACACCGCGGGGGGGGGGGGCGTCACACCGCGGGGGGGGGCGTCACACCGCGGGGGGGGGGGGGCGTCACCCTGCGGGGGGAGGGCCCTCAGAGCTGGCATCCCTCTCGCTCCTCCCAAGTAGATTCTCTTCCCGTCTCCACCTTCCCCTGAACTCAAAAGGCGTGTTTATTTCGGCCGTGGGTTCCCATTCCTGGTGTCAGCGGCTGAGAGAAGGTTCTAGAAAGCTGACCTGCCTCCGCCATCACCTCCCCGCAGGGGGCTGCACTGCAGTAGGGGCACGGGGCCTTCGTTAGGGAGTTCCCAGAAGCCCTTGGAGCCCCAATCGTAATTCTAACCCAATGGCCACTCAGACCTCTGGGCCCACAAAGGGCTGTAACACAGGAGCTGCCGCCGCCCTCGCCCGGACACCCCTCAGGAGCAACGGGGATCCTCAGCTCCGCTGGGCCAGGCCGGGCCTGGGAAACCCCGCGCCGGCGGCAGCCCCGCCCACTGCAGGCCCTGCTCCCGCTCGGCCCCAGGACGCCCGAGGGCTCCGTCCAGGGCAGCGAGCTCAGCACAGCCCCCTCCCTCCAGCCCTCCAGCCCACAGTCCAGCCCACAGTCCAGGGCAGCGAGCTCAGCACAGCACAGCCCCCTCCCTCCAGCCCTCAGCGGTGCGTGAACCCTGAGCTTCCATTATTTCCAAGCAGGCCCGGCGTCAGCGGCAGCAGAGTCCGTCCGTCCGTCCGTCCGTCCGTCCGTGCAGAGCGAGGCCCCCAGGACTGACAGGCCAGGCCTGTGTCCGCCGCCGCGGGGAAGGAAACCCGCCCGCCCTGCGCCCAGAGTCCATGGCAGCCCCGCCCCCTTAGGCCTCGCAGGAGGACAACACGCTGTGGCTGCCCGCGGGACTCAGCTCAGCGCCGGACTTTATGAAAAGCCCCGAATGAGGAGCCGGGCAGACACCAAGGGCCTCGACGAGCCCAGCCTTCCGGCAGCCGGTGCACAGCCAGGCCCTGGCGCCGGCAGGAGCCGTGAACGCGGCTCTCCGGGCTCCTTCCCGCCTGAGCCGGCCGGACGCCCCGAGTCCGTTTTTACGGAGGAGAGGAATGTGGGGTTCGGAGGGGGGTGTGCGCAGGCATGCAAGGAGACTGCCTAACAACGAAGACGGCAAGAGGTGAATGGACCCAAATACTGCTCTCTCTCTCTCTCTCTCACACACACACACAGAGACATACACACACGTGCATACACCACACACGTGCACACACCACACACGTGCACACATCATACACATGCACACACACAAACACATGCACACACATGCATACGCAGCACACCCGTAAACACACACATATATGCACACACAAACATGTACCACACATGCACACGCCATACACATGCACGCACCGTGCACACACACAAACACATGCATACACAAGCACACACATATATATGCACACACAAACATGCACCACACATGCACACACCATACACATGCACACACGCACACACACAAGCACAAACGTAACACTGGCCCATTTCCTAACAGTCTGTTCTCTGGTCGTAGCCAGTTTTCACCAAATTAAACCACTGAGGCATGAAGCCCTTGTGTGCCCGGCCCATTAAGTTCCAGAAACCACGCACTGGGATTTGTCTGCTGCCTAAAAAATAACAGGTCCTGCCTTCACTGTGGGGGCCATGCCCTCCCGGATCTGAACTCCCGACAAGGACAGAAAGCCAACGCTCAGGGAGAGTGGGCGCAGCACGCATGTCAGTAACCAGCGCACGGGTAACGTTCTGCTGCTCTAGGAAGCTGTGCGCGCTCTCTCTTCCCTGATGACTTCTGAGAATAAACACCGTGCCGAAACCTCCTGTCTTCGACTGGCGTGGCTCTGTGGTTGAGCGTCTACCTAGGAACCAGGAGGTCAGGGTTCGATTCCTGGTCAGGGCACAGGCCCAGATTGTGGGCTCGATCCCCAGTGTGGGTGTGCAGGAGGCAGCTAATCCCCTCATGGTTCTCTCTCATCATGGATGTCTCTCTCTCCCTCTCCCTTCCTCTCATTTGAAATCAATAAAAATGTATTTAAAAAAACATCCCATGTCTTATTTTCAGGAACTCCATGGTCGGAGTTTGCACAAACATGTTCCAAGCTCAGCGCCCCCAACCCATCACTCTTCATGAGGCAGGGTAACCACCGTCATGTGCCGGTAACCAGGAATAGCCTCTCGCTGTGTGAGGTCACACGTGTGCACACAGCCAGCCTCCAGTCTGTCCTCACAAAGACACCAGATCCCTCTGCCCGGAGTGAACCCCACACCACCCCTGCAGTGAGCTCCCATCACAGACACCAGCAGGGGAGTCACCTGGAACCCACCCCAGCCAGACAGAGCCCCATCCCAGCCAGACAGAGCCCACCCCGGCCAGACAGAGCCCCACCCGGCCAGACAGACCCCACCCCCGCCAGACAGACAGCCAGCCCACCCCTGCCAGACAGAGCTCCACCCGGCCAGACAGAGCCCCAACCCAGCCAGACAGACAGAGCCCACCCGGCCAGACAGACAGAGCCCACCCCGGCCAGACAGAGCCCCACCCCAGCCAGACAGACAGAGCCCACCCCGCCAGCCAGACAGAGCCCCACCCCGGCCAGGGAGGGGGGTGGCCAAGAGCCTTGGTATCCTCGGT